CAATTTGCACTATTTCTGGCAGTCTGCAACCCCCCTTTCTCTCTTTCTGCTTGAGGGCTGAAAACCACCAAGGTAGTAGTAAGGCCAAATTATCCTAAAGGTATTGATCTTGGAAGCAAAGCAGGGTCAGCCCTGGTAAGTACTTGGATGGGAGACTGCCAATGAATACTAGGTGCTGTAGGCTATATTTCAGAGGAAAGAGCTGGCGAAGCCACCTCTGAGTATTCTTTGCCTAAGGAAACCCTGCAAAATTCATGGAGTTGCCATAAGTCAACAAGCGACTTGAAGGCACACAAGTGTCCCAACATCAAGGGGGTCTCTTGGGATGTGTGCCACTGAAGGGCTGTTGTTCTTCTTGGATAATAATAATAATAATAATAATAATAATAATAATAATAATATTTGTACCCCGCCCATTGGTAATCCAATCTCTTTTAGGCCAAAGCGATGGGCTATGCCAAGCACTGACCAACCCATGCATTGTGCCAAAGCCTGAAAAACCCTGGGAGAAAGACGCCTGGGAAATCCCCCGTGACTCCCTGAAGCTGGAAAAGAAACTAGGAGCTGGACAGTTTGGTGAAGTCTGGATGGGTAAGAAGAAGAAGAAGAAGAAGTCAGATTGTTTGTTGCCCTCGTAGTAGCAAGGGGAAGAATATGCTAGATTGTTCATTTCCCGGTTGAGAAATATGGTAAGTTCCTCCACAACTGGGGAAACCCATCTGGAAGAACAACAGAGCTGCAAGGCTTGTGCAGTAATGTCCTGGTTTCCTCTCATTTCCATTACCATCACAGGCAAGTTTGGTGAGGACACAAGAAAGGGTATTTATTCCCAGTGGCTGCTCCCAAACTTTGGAAAACCCTCCTAGGGAGGCCAGGTTGGTCCCCTCTCTGCTCTCTTTGACAGCCAGGGTGCTGTAGTGGTTTGGATCATAGAATCATAGAATCATAGAGTTGGAAGAGACCACAAGGGCCATCCAGTCCAACCCCCTTCTGCCATGCAGGAACTCCCAACTTTTGTTGGACTTTTGTTGTTGTTAGCTGCCCTCGAGTCAACTCCAACTCATGGCGACCCTGAGGATGAGACACTTCCAAGACTCCCTATCCTCCATTGCTCTGCTCAGGTCCTGCAAACCCATGCCTCCCGATTGAGTCCATCCATCTTATATGTGGTCTTCCCCTCTTCCTTTGGCCCTCCAGCATTATTGTTTTTTTTAGCGAACCATGTCTTCTCATTCTGTGGTCAAAGTACGGCAGCCGCAATTAGATAATCTTGGGGCCTTTGCAGACTGCCAGAAATAGTGCAAATGGAGTCCACTTTAAGGGTTAGGGTCAGGGTTAGGGAATCATGGGAACTGTATTTTATTGTGGCACCAGAGCTCTCTGACAGAGAAGGCTCAATGTCTCAGAAAAAAACAAAAAAAAAACAATTCCCATGATTCCCTAGCACTAACCCTAACCCTTAAAGTGGACTCAATTTGCACTATTTCTGGCAGTCTGCAAAGGCCTGGCTTCCAAGAAAAGTTCTGGTTTGATCTGTTCAAAGACCCATATGTTTGTCTTTTTGGCTGTCCAGGGTATCCGCAGCACTCTTCTCCAGCACCACATCTTGAATGCATTGGTTTTCTTTCTTTCTGCTTCCTTTACTGTCCAGCTCTAGCATCCGTACATTGTGATGGGGAAAACTATGGCCTGGACAATTCTGACCTTAGTGCTCAGTTGTATATCTTTACTCTTCAGGCTCTTTCTAGTTCTTTCATAGCTGTCCTTCCCATCCTCAATCTTCTTCTTATTTCTTGACTGCAGTCCCCACCCAGATCAATTCCTAGGTACAGGAATTCTTTGACTATTTCAATTTCCTCATTGTCTAGATTAAATGTATGTATTTCTTCTGTGGTCGTTATTTTTGTTTTCTTTATGTTCAACATTAATCCTGCCTTTGCACTTTCA